AGGCTGTCACCTGTATTTAAAGCAGTGAGTCGTAGTGAACTCAGGTGCCAAGACACTGAGAGATCCTCTGCTGGAGGAGCATGGAAACTGGAGCTGAATATCAATGTTCACGGGCTGCTGACAGTCACAAGCTTATAATTGCCTAATTAAGCAACATTATAATTATACTATGATTTATACTTTTATCATTTTATTCAGTATAATTAAGATATAGTAGGCTATATCTTAATTACAGACTAAGTTACAAATGAACAAATACTGAAAATCATAACATTAATTCACTAATGCAGAACCATTCTTAGTAATATTTGCAGCAGATATGACTTGAAAATATAATAGGAATCACCTCATATACAAGGAGTTCCCACTAAATCAAAAGTACTGATTTAGATATGCATCATGTATCTCAGAGGTTCTTTTGGGGGCAGGGACCCCTTGGGGGGGGGGGGGGGACCCATTGGACCCAATTATAGTCCTCAGCTGATAAAATGCTGGGTACTTTGTGATGACATGCCACTTTAGCTTGGCTTGCTTCATTGGTTTATATACTAAAACTTGAAGACACACAATAATAATAATAATCATAGACACAGACATAACGTGTAATTTCAGCTGCCCATTTTCACATTAATATGGCAATAAATACATCACTGGCTCTCAAACTCAGCTAATTAGCACAATGGACAAATAATAACAATGGAAGACTAAAATGTGTTGTGTGTCTTCAAGTGCTAGCAAATGAAGCAATGAAGCCATGTCTGGTTAATAAAAATCATTCATACTTTTGAATCACTTTGGCTGTCATGTCCAACAGCCTGTGCCTTACTTACTTGGACACCTTAAAAGTCTAAACACATCTACTGGTTTGACTGTAATGTGACACTGATATTATTTTAAAGTACCTTTGTCATTTATTAGCCACAGTCAGTTTCAGTTTTTGGCCAGATAATGGTCTAACTTTAAAAAAAAGGTGATGGTACATATTTCTCTAACACTTAATTGGTTCTGGCGTAATTCTGATGCTGAACATCTGAAATATATTTTCTTAGTGTAACGTCAAAAGATACATTTACAAGATATCAATACATTTAAAAAAAGAAGAAAGACCCATGGTGAATTTTTTTGCACAAAAACAATACATTTATTCAAGTGTTCTCCAGCACAAGTACATACGAAGCCTTTATCTTCTCTTTGAACACTAAACAAAGGTATGGGGCAGAGAATGACTGCTACATCTGCTGTATGAACTGGTCTGAGGAAAACCATACAGGCCATAAAACAGTTATGACAGAAAGAAAGTCACAAAGAGCGTTAACAGTATCACTGAAGTATTGACCTGCTTTGACCAGTAAAATGAAATGCTGTTCAGATTTTTTCTTCTTCTTTTTTTTAAAACAAAGAAACAAGTAAGCGTCAGTTCAAAACAACATTCGGAAAACAGACATGGAGAATATTGTGGCATGGAATGTAGGATTAAGAAGCAATGCGCATTAAGCATACATTATGCTACAGTAAAAGTTATTACCATTTTTTTTCTCACACAATTTTCCCACAGATAAGCACCGACTACAGCAATCTCTAGTCTAAAACAATATAGCAAACCTTTCATTATTTGTTATCCTTATTTTTTCAAGTACAAAGTTAAAATGCCTTTGTTAATATATTTATATGAGTGAAATAATAGTTATTTTTCATTACTACAAGGAACTTAAAACAGTCATTGTCAAGACATGTTTATTTGTCTTCCAATCAAACACATTTTTCTTGATTAGGTAAAATGTTTAGCACCATCGGAAACGCCTACAATCCCTCTTTTTAAAGTCTTACAAAAAGAAACAGAAGTTTAAAAAAAAAACACCACCGTGTAGGGCTGTGCAGTGAAGTTTAGACCGTCAATCTTAAAGCTGTCTTTAGGCCAATGTTAAGATCACAAAACATCCAATCTGGATTCACTTGAAACAAACAAATAAAAAAAACAAAAAAACAAAAAAAGCAGAGTTGGAATCTCTCTACATCTAATGCTTGAAGCTTTGAATGAAATTGTCAATGATTTTATTTTCGACCTAAGATTTTCTTTCTATTTGATGATATATATTAGCAAAGAATTATATTTGTACATCTCATTTGTAATTAAAAAAGAAAGAAAAAAAATTGAAAACAGCAACCAGAAAACTCTATGTACAGAATGTACAACCATGAATATGACGTTAGGTATTAAAGGTGGAGAGGGGATAACATCTGATAAATACAAAGCACGAGAGCTCATATTGAGCCACATGCATGGACAAAAAGGATGGCAATAAGGTCACTTAAGAAATTAATTACATTAAGAAATTAAATTTCAAATCTTAAATATGATTTAGAGAAGCGATAGCATCTGCTCTTACTCTTTACTCTTTGAGTGCTGACATCCGTGTCAAACACTGTGTCAGGCTTTTGTTTTGACAAACTGCAGCCTAAATCCTCTGTGTTTAGCTTAAGGATTACAATCAAGAGAATTTAGTTTGCGTGTGTAATCCATAATTTGGATCGGCGCTTACAATTTGCCAACGTGACGACTACAATTTATCGAGCAAATGGCAGCGGCCCTACTGTCCTTCACAGGGGACAAAATATTTTTACAAAGCAGGAAACACAGCTTTTTGACGCTGCCTACATTTTACAATCTTAATAGCAACAGACATTCCTTGAATTTACGTGGCAACATACTGTATCGCTGCTTCGAAACAGAGAACAATATGGATGATGGAAGGTGAGAAAAGGAGTTGGAGGTTACAAATGACAATCCATCTACTGTACACCGAGTCAAATAACATGGTTTCACATATAAAAAAATCCTTCTTTCACTTCTATTGGCACAGCCCTACTGTATACAAAATATTACACGAGGATTGATCAGTTCACATCATTAAACTAAACGAAAAATAAACCAATTCACAAGAAAAAAAAAAGTTTTTAAAAGAAAAAGAAAGTGTACGTATAAAAGTGCTTGATAATGTTGATAAAACAGCACAAAAATTGCTATAAAAAGGTAGAAGAACTCTGTGAAGCGGCACCATATGTTGAGTATTTGCACCTGACAGTTATTCAGTTTAGAGAGGTGGAAGCCAAGGAGGAGAGTTACCCGGCCTGGTCGCTCTCCCTCCTTTACAGCGACCACGCTTACTAACAGTTGTACAGTAACGTCATTGTTCATGATGAAACTAGAAAAAAAGTAGCTCATCACAGACTTTGATCTTAAGTTTTTTCTTTTGAATGACAGAAAACATCATCTCCCATGTGGCTAGCTTCACTTTCTGTTTGTGCAGATTCAGACAGTGAGCCTGAGTGTAGCAAGGCTGAGATTAGAAGAGCACCAGTACAAACTTGTGTAATAGCTGTAAAAACGCAGAAAAGAGTATAAGCTCTATTTGCAGTCAAACGTCGGTCAACCGAACGGCATACAACATTATTTTATTTTTTTTCGTTAAATTAAAAACGTCAAACAAAAGTTCATCCAGCAACAGGTTAAAAACGTCCCGTATTGTCTAAAAATGCATTGCCACATGGGCTATGATGTTTCATATCATCTTGGAGCACCATGGTATTGTAACCATATTACAGTAGTACCTTTATTACCTTCAGTTGTGTATAGAAACTGTAAACAAAGAGGTATATGTGATCTGGTGTTTGGATTCTCAGAGACACAGCTCTCTTGACCACTGAAGGAAACATCCCTGTGAGGCTCAGTAGCTGGAAGCATGGCTGCACTGCAGGTGGGAGTCTCGCAGTACGCTCACACAGCAGAAGCATTTCACATATCTGAAAAAAAATATCCTACTTCCTGTCTTTCTGATGTTCCCCAATGTATTCCTATCCCTCTCTCTTACAAGACGTATTTAGCACTCTTCTGTCTTCGTGTCTTGAGAAGAAAGCATAGTCTCCAAGTATAGCTTGCACAAACAAATAAACAATACTTGATAACACTGCAGCGGCCCTACTGTAAAATGATATATAAAATTAAATAGAATAAGAATTGCAATTCAAATACAAGAAATAATGTGAAATCTATGTTTCGCTTACAAATTATACCAGAGTATAATTTGAGGATCAGGCTCTTGTTTCTAGTCACAACATACAGTTGTGGTTCCTAAATTATGAGGTACCGTAAGGACATATTACTGAATGCTCTCACACACACGACTAAAATTTTATCTCTCACACACACTACTGAAACGCTCTAACAAACGCTACTGAAATGTACTCGCACACGCTACTGAAATGTACTCGCACACGCTACTGAAATGCAGTCACACACACTACTTAAAACCAAGGCGTTTCAGCTGGATAGGGCAGTGTTGCCAAATCCTTAGTAAGGAAAGTCGCTATTAGCGTTGTTGTCCTAAAAGTCGCTAGAAGTTGCTAAATATGGTCATTGCCTAATTTGCATAATTGGTCATGCTTATGTAATTGTAACCTATGTTGTAGGAGAGAGAAATAACATCGTGGAAGAGACATAAAGTGGGTAAAAAACCACCCTAAATGGATTAGGAATATATTTAGAACTACAAATTAAATTCTTTGAGTAATTATTGTTTTTTTTAATGTCACAATTCTAACCCTCCTCCTTTATCCGGGCTTGGTACCGGCAAAAGTGACCCAAAAAAGGCACTCTGGCGGAGTTACACACACACACACACTGTGTGTGTTTAAGTAGTTTTAAACCTTGTGATTTACAAAAAGTAAAAGAAGAACTGACTGCGTTAAAGTCAGGGTGGGAGCAGCGGCTTTGCTCATGCGTGATTCATTTGCAGTTTGGATGGGTAGGGATCAGCATCTCCTGCTCTGACAGCAGCTGGGGGCGACTGCTGCCTGTGAGCACTTTGGCATGGGCGAAGTGCCCACGGCAGCACCCGCTGCTTGTTGGGAGTAAGACAGATATGTGCTTTCACGTCAAAAAGTGGTCATAGGTCTTCCTAATAACAAAAGCAAAAGTCGCCAGATTTGTCGCTAGTCGTTTTTTAGAGAAAAAAAGTCGCTAAGGGGGTCTGAAAACTCGCTAAATATAGCGACAAAGTTGCTAAGTTGGCAACACTAAAACACCTTCCTGTTCAGCTGAAATGCCTTGGTGTTCAGTAGTGTGTCTGAGAGCGTTTCAGTAATAATGCCCCTTATGGCACTTCATACTAAATGGTTCTGAGCTAATTTTTTGACTGCTCAGTCACAGGCAAAGTACTCTTTGAGTGGTGCAAACAGGTGGCGGATAACTGGGACGCTCCATGATCTGCCCAGCAGCCTCTGCCTCGCCAGTCGGCTCATGTTGGATACGTCTGTATAGTGGACTGGAAAACCAAAGACCCTGATGTGAGCAACCATCCACACCACACGTGCAACCAGCGAGCAGACAGGGGAAGACAAAGGAAGAAAACCTTGAAATTCTGACCTCTGAAAAAAGCCTACACAGTAGTTGAAATCATTATGTTTACATACCTCTCCATCTCAGTGCACCACAGTATGTCTTCCTTCTCATTCATGTAGACTGGGAAGTGCTGGTCCTTGCCCTGCTTGATGGAATTAGACCTGGTAGTGATAGTCCTCACCTTGCCAAACTGGAGGACAATAAAAAAAAAATTTGTTTATGCCATTTTTATGTCCTTGCTGCGTAACAAACTTACAAAACCTGAGATACCTTTTCTAAAATGTTGAGGTTATCGTGATCAGATAATTTGGTAAACATGAGGTTCCATGTGAAGACCTGTCCCTGGATCTTGGTCCCAGAGTTTTGAGTCTTCAGCTTTGTATTTTTGATCTTTATTTCATGATTCTGTATTGGTTTTAGTCCTCTGTTGTGAGTTTTCGTGTTCTGGTTTCTTGGTTTTAGGCTGGTTTAAGAATCCCTGGTTATTCCCGCCTCTCGTTTCCTTTTCTGGCCCAGTATTGTTTCCATGTTTGTTTACCGCCCTCATGGTTGTGTCTTCTTTCGTTAAAGTTTTGTTTCCTAGTTTTTTGGACATGGAGTACTTGTTCTTTGTTGAAGTTTAAGCTCTGCAATAAAGTTGTCTTTTAGTTTAAACTTAGTTTCTGAGTCATGTCAAAGCTGATTTTTTTTGTTAGATAAATTCAATTTGAAACTATTACATCTAGCTGCCACATGGAGCCACCAGTGTGCAGAGTTTTACACTCCTGAATCAAATGAACTGTATTACGAAATCCGAACATGTCACACAGTGGAAATTTGCATTTATCTTTTATATTGGTCTTATTCTGATTCTAGTGTTTATTTGTGAGTGTAGTTTTTATTTGCATGATTTTATTCTGGTTGTATTGCATGTTTTTTCTGTATACTTTATTAATCCTCTGTAAGAAAATTACTCTCTGCATTTAACCCATTCACTCAGTGAAGCAGTGGGCAGCCAATCCAGCGCCCGGGGAGCAGTGTGTAGGGACGGTACCTTGCTCAGGGGTAACTCGGGGTAGCCGTTCGGTGGATTTGAACCCCCGACCTTCCGATCATGTTTTAATCCACTGTGGACTGGCTGGGCATGGGACAAATTAGCTGATAGCGGTCACCTCCTGAGGCATGGGTGTGTCCAAAGGCGGCCTATCAGCTGTTTAAAGGACCTATTAAAAGGAAGCTAGCTGAGCACTGGAAGGAGAGAGGCCCCAGATATGGAGAGGAATGCATGGAGGCCAGCTGATAAAGAGGGACCCGCTGCCTGATCATGGGGGTGCGACACCTCATCTGGAGACAGTCTGGTCAGCGTGACGTGGCGACCCAGTCCCAACAGTAGGAATGGCGACAGTGGGAGACAACATGTGGGATTGACAGCAGGGCAGAGGTATACCTCTGGCTGCATTTGTGAGTAGTGTCTCCACCGTTGTGCAGCCGTGTTGGGAGACGGTCGCCATGGCTATAAGCCAGGCCAACTTCCGGGACGATGGTTCTGGCCCCTGTTTGTTTACTTACAGGGCAATGATGCAAGGGGAGCCGTGGTGGCATCAAGCAACGGACTCCAGTGCAGAATTCGAGCTGGGCAGGGATGTGATGGGACGAGAGGGGGATAGAAGGCTTCTCCTGGTCTTCCTGGGACGAGGCTGGTATGGACCCCGCTCTGGAAGAGGGATTTCTGCCCTGATTGTGAACACCTAACAAACATTCGTCCTTGGCTGTGGGACAGTTACATTGTGTGACGGGGTGGGATTTTAGAGCGCATAGAACATTGCGTTTTATAAGGTTTTTTTGATATTGGGTTTGTTTATTCCTGGGAATTTTAGTACCTCTACAACATTTTATTGCTTATGGCTTTTAGAATTGTTTGTCATTCTTGCTCCCTGGCCTGGAATAAACCCTTTCTGATCAGACCTGCTTCATCTTTGTGCCCTGGGTTTCTGACTCGCTTTCTCCCCCTTGTATGTAAAGAACCATCCTCTAGTATGACATTCTGCCACACCAGCTTTAGTGTCTCTGATATTCTACTGTATTTAAATTGAATGAATCAGATTAACCAGAGAGATTACAGCTGCCAGACTGAGTTTTTGTGTGCACCGGTGAGCGAACATGATGTGTATTGAAAGACAAGCTGCAAGTACCTTGGCTGTCCTGCCATGTTCTAAACAGTCCTGGAGTTCCAGCCTATCAGTGCACATGGCAGTCAAAGGCCTGAAAGAGAGAATGAACAATTTACACTTTAACACATTATTTAAATCTAACATGCATTTCATTTTTTTCCTGGTCCCTATATACACTTACAATAGTGGATGCTCACATTAAACTTGGACTAAGTTTCAAACAATTACATAACAGGTCAGGGTATGGTGACACAGTTGTCAGCACCGTCACCTCAAAGCAAGAAGGATGTGGGTTTGAGTTCACCAGCTGGGCGCCACGGACCTTTCTAGATGGACACGGGCTGTGGGAGGAACTGGTGATTCTAAATTGTTAATAGGTGTGAATGGTTGTCCGTGTCTCCGTGTTAGGATGGATGGAATGAGTGCAGGTACAAATAACCCTGGTGAGTTCAAATCTTTGTGGACAAAACGTAACAGTCAAAAACAGTCAATTTTCTCATTACTAGGTGTGCAATAAAGCTCATGCTACATTCCTCTGATTACTCTACCTTTTTCTAAGCCCTCCCCTACAACCTTGCATTTAATGCCACATTGCTACGAACTCTGAGTAACTGTCTTGAGCAAAGTCTACAGAAATGCAGACTTGTGAAACTATGGATAATGTCTAGCAGAGAGCTCGTCATGCATTTCATAATGTCACAGTGGGATAGCCTAAGTCTCTGAGTCTGTAAATGTAGACATTGGGATTGAGCCAAGGGAGGAACGGGGCCCAGAAAAAGATAACAAATTATTATTTGAACTGTGAATCATGCAAAGCTACACTAATAGAGTCCAAGAATAAAAATATGGAGCTGGAGGTAGTAAAAGGTCCCATTTACAAATGTGAAAGTAGGGCATAATAGACTGAATTGGATCTGCTATACTACAAGTCTCTACTTCATCGGCCTTTATCTGCAATTTTAAACAAGAAAAAAATCTCTGCCGGAAGTATGAAATTACTTCTAATCTAGCCACTGAAATCAGTTTCAGTCCATGCCATAATGGCACTTCATTTTGATTCAATGATTTTGGAGATAATCTAATCTAATTTGCTGTTCCATGCTTTGAATGCAGTATTAAGAAAACAGAAGATAATCTGCCAGGACAAGAATAGTTTAAAAAAAAAAAAAAAAAAAAGCCAAATCAATTGGGTATGTATGACTCACTATCACTACTTATCTATAGTCATAGTAAAAAAGACAGTATGATCCTTAAAATTCTGTTTTCCCATAAATAAACTAAAAATAAAAATAATCTGGTCTTTAGCAGGTCTTAAAATATGATACATAAAACCTCAAAGGGCCTACAAAACACGACGTACCACACTGTGTGACTATCTATTTAACAATCAAAAATCAGAAGCAGTGCGTGAGAAACTAAAGCCACACTTCTTCTTCCACACTGCTTCAACAGGAATTAAGAGAATAAGTAGCAGCCAGGTGCTGCTAATCAAGTTCACTCGATTCATTGATCATCAGCAAGCACGCGCCTCTAAAAAACAAAAGGTTTAGGCAGTTTGTTCATCAGGAACATTCACATGTGTGTTAACACAATGCCAAAGAGGAAAAACATCAGCAATTATTTTCAGCAGAGAAGCTGTTTCCAAATAGTCTGAGGTCTCTCATTCTGCAGTGAGAAATATTATTCACGATCAGAAAACATTCACGACAGCTGCCAATCTCAGCAGTGGCGGGCCATGCAATGCTCAGAGAAATGACAAAAAAACAAGAGCTACGTCTCAGCCTCAACAGGCCTTAATTAGATAGTTAAATTCTACAGTTCAAGACACACTGAACAAATGTGGCTTACTTGGAAGGGTTGTCAGGAGACATCCTCTTCTCTCTAAAAATAATATGGCAGCATACTTAGATTTGCAAAGATGCATCTGAGCAAACCACAAGACTTCTGGAACAATGTCCTTTGGACAGATGAGACCAAAGTAGACATGTGTGGCTATAATGCACAAAACCAAATACAGCACATCAGCACAAACACCTCATACTAACTGTCAGCATGGTGGTGGAGGGGTGATGGTTTGGGTTTGTTTTGCAGCCACAGGATCTTGGCATGTTGAAGTCATTGAGTCTTTGTATACCAAAGATTTCTAAAGCAAAATGTGAGGCCATCTGTTTGACAACTGAAACTTGCCAAAATGATGTCATGCAACACGATAATAATCCAAGTACAGCAGCAATCTAAAACAGAATAACTAAAAAAGGAAATAGCGGAAATGCTATACCACATAAATTTACCATATAAATGCCTGCAAATCTCAATGAACTGGAGGAAGTTCCTCCACAGCAACATGAGAGACGAATAAAGTCATGCAGAAAACAAAACACTTTAAATTATGGCACCTAAAAGTTATAATGACAGGGTGTGATTAGTTTTTCACACACCACTTTTTTTGGGCTTACTTTTCTAAAAACAAGTAATAACATAGTGTAACATGTTCTGTGTTGTTGTTCATTTTTAGTTTGTTTTTGCATTATTTTAAGACTTGATAGGACTAAAGAATTTAGGTTGTACTTTGTTGTAACATGACCATATAATTTGACATAAGCAGTCCCTTTATAGTGTTACTTTTTTGTTAAATACTACTTCTTTTCTCACCATTCATACACCAACCTGTTCATGCCAGGAAGGTTACCCCAGAAGTAACGGGCACGGTGGGCAGCTGACACTTCCTTGGCATCGATCATCACTGGGTTACACTGAAAACAGAGACGAGGAAGAACAAGCACCAATCAGGAAGCAACAAAGGTAAAAAGCTTGTGATTGCATACAGAATAATACAAGTGTAATCACACAACAACAACAATTTTATTATATAGCACAATGTTAATATAACAGAAAAGAGTCAAAATTAAACTTCAAAATTGTCAGTTTCCTCAGTGGACAGTCATTTAAAAAAAAGAGAGTATTCTAACAGCTAATGAGGGCTTCACCTAACAGATAACCAGAAACACCATCTAGGAGTAGATTGCAGCGCATTAAAGATGGCATATTAAACTGTTGAATGAAGATCAAGACGTCAGAGCTCCGTTCTCATAATTTTTGCCTAAAGATAATGAATTATTGCCACAAGGGGGCATTCAAAGCCCAACAATACCCACTTCACCAACGGCACATCATACATCTACCGCCTACAGCAGGTAGAGATTATAAGTATCAGTAAAGAAATTAACCTCTAAAAAGCGAGATATGTCCCTCTTGTCACTGACGCCCATAGCAACCACATTTTCAAAGAGCCAGAAGAAAGGCCTGTCTTCCCCCTGCTTCGGCCGAGCCTCATGGAGCAGTCGGTAAAACTCAAAGAACAGGCGTCCGGTGCCCTCTGTGAGACAGAAAGAGGTATTAAACCAGGTGCTGAAGCAAAGCAAAAGACATAAACTCCTTATATTCTAGTGATTTATTTAGGCCAGTGACTTTATATATGAATGAATTTCCCAACTAATACATTAGCAAAGCAAAAAAGCAGTGGACTCATTTAAACTTACCATACAGACCCTTCCTTGCAGGATTGACTATTGAGAGGTCATTGCATGGGCTTCCACCTATAACTAGATCAAAAGGACCCCACTCGTTTATCTGTATAGAGAAAAGAATCAGAGTCAGGATTAGGGTTATGAACTGAACCAGCAATGTACTCCTAGTGAGTAGTAAATACTAATAAAACTAGCTATACAGATGCTAGAGTTTGAATGTTTTATAATGTCTTTATTGTCTTTTACTCTCCACTCTTGGCTTTTAATATGACAAGGTAAAGTGTCAAAGAAAAGCATGGTCTCACTGTCGGTCATTTGTACATCTGGTAAACAACCATACTGTTAAGCCTTAAAAATATCCACATTTTCTGTTTAGAAGAGTCTGCATTTAATTTCTGGTTTTCCACAATAGAAATGATATCCAATGCTACTTAGTACAAGCGAGTAATGATATATTTGTAAGTTTGTAGCCATTTGCAAGTTTGGTGTCTCTTTTTAGTAACTTATTCTCACTCACATGTTTGCGCGTGATGTTCCGCACGTCTCCAACGTACATGATGCGACCCTCATGCCGGACGATACCCACAGTGATGGAGTCTTCACACACTTCAGAAGCTATGTAGCGACCCACTTGGATGCCAAGTTCTTTGAGCACCAGCAGTCCTGTGCAGGGTGTAGTTAAAGATTTTTTTTTTAAAAAGAAAAGAAGGAGACAGTCTAAAAAAATCTGTCCACTTAAATGATCTGATCTGAAGAACTGGAGCTATCCCTAATAAATAAATCCTATGATGACTAACACAAATATAGCTAATAGCTATATAGCTAGTATAGCTAGTTATATATGGCATGTGTAGTGACTGATACATGGCAATGTTCTGACTAATAAAGGAAGAAAGTAAATCCATCTAATTTTTTATAACACAAACTGGGGAAAATTTTCTAACCTGTGGCTATGCATCAAATAGTGAAAGGACACGAATGGGCTTCCTCTTCTCCGCCATGACTGGGGCGTAAAGCTTTGGTGGATCCTGAAATTATTGGCAGAGGGGGCAACAGTGAGACACAAAGGAGACAGACTCCTCAGTCACATGGTGATTGAGATTTATGGCCTAGAGGTCAATTACTTACAAAATCTTGATCGTGATTATTTGCAAAGAAGTGCTGGAGACGGCTGGGCCAATCGCTACGACGCTCCAGCAGACCAAACACACCCTTCTGACCGCACATGTAGCAGTTCCATGGGTCTTCTTTGATGGCAGCGTGAGCGGCTCCTTGACCAACAAGAAGGTCCACGCACTCCACACAGAAGCACCTGCGCCAAGGACAAGGACATTTACTTCTAAAATGATAACTAACCCTACCTATTAAAAGCAGTCACAGTGTTAAGTACAGTAAGCGACTAAGTGACTAAATGTGGTAGACTGCATGTTTTCCATTAGAAGACCAAAATAAACTATTAACTGTTTAAAATGGTCTTGATCTGAGAATGAAAATGCAGGAAATGTAACGTGCAAGTAGGGTTGCCAACCGTCCCTTAAAAAACGGAATCGTCCCGTATTTAGAAACAAAAGTACACGTCCCGTATCGAGCTAATAAGGGACGCACTTTGTCCCGTAATACAGTGAGAATCAAAAGTAGTCTATAAATGTTAATGGAATTAACGCTTTGTTGGAAAACATAATTCCCAGCCCCTCTCCTGCTTTGTGACCAATGAGCTGACAGCACACTTATGACAATTCGAGTATGACAATTCAGATTACTGCTCATCTCATTGGTCGAGGAAAGGTCGCTTGCGGAGAAAATACCGGAAGACAACAGATGACCACAACAACAAGCATGGCCAACAGGGAAACAAATGCCAACACTGCAGTGCAAGTCTCGGACGACAGTACACCTAAAGCTGGGCAAACACTGTGCGATTTTTCAGTCACGTTATTCAGCTCCTGCTCAAACTGCACGATTGACTCGCAGGGGTTAGAAGTTCATAGGTCACGATGCAGGGTCTCACACTATACGACCCGATACTCTGATGCGACCTGAGTGCTCACACTGTGCGTCCATAAAATGAAGGTTATAACAGAAAATCTGTCGCTCGCTCTCCCTCTGTCTTTCACTCACACAGACACACCACCACCATCAACTTTGCTAAATTGCTAATGAAAAACATTGATCAGGCAGCTGTGATTGAGCAGCAATGTAAATCCAACTATTTTCACAGTTGTTGTGGTCGTGATAATTTTGTGAGGCCACATCGAAAAGGCTCGGATGAGCTTTCCAAAGTTCTACAAGTTGTGCCTCCATCGCTTGTGTCCAGATCACACGCTGCACAGCTGTGCTGCTCCGTCTTTTTCACCGACGTTTACGTGTTTGCGCGTGAGCAGTGGTCGTGAGGTGTTAATCGTGTCTCGTTACCCACGTATACTACACGATGCACGATGAAGGCCAAAATCGGGCCGATCGCCAAAACGGTCGCACGACTCAAAAATCGGCTCAAAATGGGCCAAAAATCGCACAGTGTAAGCCCAGCATTAGAGCAGCAATGTTTGTTCGCTCAGAGAAAGAAAAAAAAAGGCTGCAAAAGTACAGGGAGGAATGGGAAAAGGAAAACACCTGGCTGGAAAAGTGCACGATAACACCTTTAAAGCGCACTGCACTGTGTGCCGGCGCACTTTTTCCATAGGCATGCTTCTAGTGGTGGGCACATGAAGAACAAGAGGGGCGTGAAAGCTCGGGGAACCCTTAACCAATTTCTTGTCCACCAGGCCACGGCAGAAGCAGATATGGTATGTAAACACTGGTTTGTTTTTTTTAAACCTTCTGGTTAAGGTTAATATGGGCATGTGCAGTGAATATCAGCGCTATGTGGCCAGAAGTGTGATAATATAATTTATTTTGTGTAATAAACTGCAAGGATAGATGATTACAACAAATAGATGACTAATACATAAAAGTAATACATAGATTAATAATGATGATGAGTTAAGATGCGTAATCATGGGAACAAGCAGGTTTACAAACAGAAGCAGCTGATTAGCATTAGAAAAGCTGAAATAATACCTCAACTGAAGCCAATTGTACTAAATGCACTATATGTGCACAGTTACAAGAATATTTTTCATTCTATTGCTTTCTATTAATTTATATAATTTTAAGTTAAGCAGGACAGAGTTCTTTTAAAGAAAGATTTACTTATATTCTCAAAAGTTAAGCATGACAGGCTTCTGTTTAAGAAAGAGACCTGTTTTATTGTGTTAATGTTGTCATTTTGAGCTAAAAATAAATGGCTAAATGATCATTTGTTTCCCATATGGTCATATCACAAAGAATATGCATCTGCTTAAATCAAATTCAAGTCAAATGGTTAAAAAATAATTTCACACACAAAAAAAGAGCTACCACACTGGGAAGGGTGAAGACAACTGGGTTGCCCGGCCCTGGCCACGAGGTGTCCCTTATTTATTTTTCAGGGAGTTGGCAACCCTACGTGCAAGTGAAAAAACTTCTGCATCTTTGATGGGGTTTACCAAGGTTGTCTAAAAGGCCCCAAAGTTCATAGGATAACTATATTTGAATTCTTATACAGGTGTTTGTAAGTTTATATACAAGTTTATATGCTGTTCATTTAGCATTTAACCTTCTGTTAGTTTGAGCCAGCCCACCGTCTGGTGATGTCATATAGTTAGTAAGGTGGGCAGTTTTAGTGTCGGATGAGCAGTGTTGGTCAGGTGGGGGTGCACTGATTCCTGTGGGATATGATGTGTGCGTGAATGGTAAGTGATTATTAACCTGTGTTGCATTTTGCTTTATTTGTGTTGATACTGTGATATATTTACCATTTAGGAGCTAATGTAGTTCATAGTTGGAGCGGTATAGGCCACGCACGCAATGCGTGAGTTCACCCTCATTTCACATGCTAATTGATGTCAGTTACTTCATCCTGGTTTGGCTTTAGTTTGCCACATGTACGATCCTCAATATGTTTCTAACGTAATTCATGTGTTATCAGAGCTTCCCTGTATGGTATATGTGGTGCTCGTGATTCTTTAATTTAAAATACGGAGTTTATAGCGGATAATTTGTTCAGAGTACCGCTTAAATGCCGAGCGTAGTTCGACCGGAAGTACCATGTTCCTACTTCCCCTTCGCAATAAAAGCATTCGGCGGATTATAACGGAGAAGCCTTTATTTTCTACAGCTACCGGAAGTAGTTCCTCTGTACTGACGTTAACTTAACCTCGCAGTAATGCTATTTAGCTGGCATAGTGTAAGCAGTAGAAGTGTACTACATTGCTCTGCTCATTTAA